CGCCACCATAGTGGAGTAGCGGGGATCAGCCAAAATCTGCGAGATAGACAGATTCAACTTTACCCAATTGCGCCCCAGACACCGACTAACGGAGGGGGTCCCCAGATGATCCGTGTTCTGCTGAACTTTCCTCACCTTGAGTACCCGTCGGTAGGGCGGGATCTTGCTCTCTCGGTAACTTCCGAAGAGTTCAAGTGGTGAAGCTTGAGTGTCTTGGCGAGACGTGGGGGATGGGGTGGAGCAGCAGTGGTAAATCTTCACTCTGCGTCCGTGGATTGTTCCGAATCCTAAGCGAATACTCGAGCTTATGGATCCGGGCCTAGATCGTGGATCTGACCGTAGGGTTGCCTTGCGGGTGTGTTCCCTTGCCTTTGTAGTTCTTTTGCGTCGTACTTGCCGCCTCCTGTGACGGGATCTTGAGAGTTGAGAACCTCTAGGGTGTAACCGACCAAGTAGTAAATTCGGTTAACCTGTCGGATCTGCACAAGTAAAGGAAAAGCTCACTAGGTTGTAGGATCTGGCCAATGTATTATCCAGTTATCACTACCAACACTAGATTCGCAATTCCTAACCTTCTCCTAGCTCGTACGGCCACTGTAGTTCCGGTTCTTGAGGGCAGGAAGGCACTTGCGTGATACTGTGCAAATTGGGATCTGTATTGATATTTAAGCCTATACCTGCCTGGATTTCTACCTTCTATGTCTTTCATCTGCTAAATCCCTTACCAGGCTCGGCTGCATGTCCCTTCTTCCCTTGACCCATCAGCCCAGCTGTGTTATCTTCAGATCCACCGGATCTATGACGTAATCATCATGGTCACCCTATTATGGGTACACTCATCCGGATCCAGGTCGCTTGGATCCACCTCACTGTAAGTGTACACTCGTCGTGGATCTGAGCTCTCCAATCATCCAACATCATCTCGCAACCGTCTGTGATCTCCATTGTCCCACGAAAGCTCGAGATCCACTGCATCCATCATCCCTATACCCTGGATCCAGGTCCCTCAAGGCGGGACCCTCCCTCCATGGATCCGAACTCGGAAGTATGGGATCCGGGGTACCTCGCGGTGGATCTTGACTCTTCATTAGCCGTGGCTACTAGATCCATCTTCGGATGGCACCTACCACCATTCCTTCATGAGATCCACACCCGATCCACTCTTGTATAGTATATCCCATATCCATTTAAGTGAATCCAGGTAAGGGTGGATCCGAGGTAAGTCTTGGTGGATCTTGCCTTCTCGTACATCGCTCAAACCAGATCCATCGTCACTTCATACGGGGTGCTGCTCGTCATGGCTAATCCACCACCGGCAACTTGCATCCGTGCCACCAACCCAAATCCTCTCTAATCACTTGAAATTGTCACTGATTCGGGATAGTGACCCCGCGTCAGGCCCATTCTCTTATTTCTGAGAAAGCACTTCACCACATACTATTTGTCTAGTCGAGAGGTATTCTATACCATATAGCTGATTGCGACGGTCAGTTAGAGCGAGTCACAGTTTGTCTGTCTCCGCATGCATAGTATTGTTTAGAGCCGCTAGTATCTGCCGAGGGTCACAGAATATACCAATTTCGCCTCTCCATATGCCTCGCTGAGCTCTTCATAGTATCATAATTTCATTGAAGGGCCTGTACGCGATGTTCGCTAACTCGTATCCATTAATCAGATTGTAATTAATAATCAATTTAATCTCATAACCCTTCTATGATAGGATGAACGCCATTGACTTACTTACCGACTTATTTGCATAGCTAATGATTATCAGACATTTACTGCCTCCAATATGTATGGCGAGCATACGAAGCCACTTGGCTGTAGGCATATTATCATATCGTAGTGCTACATACACTTGTATCGAATAGTAGCCCGTGTACGTTACATAAAGTACTCTCGCTGTCTACTTTTCAGCTCGGCGTGCTATTGATGTGTCAGTGCATAGCTCATTTCGCAAGATCGCAAATGGATGTATATGCTATGCCCTCGGGATAGCCAAAGCCTATGCATAGGGTCACTGTCGCTTTCACGGTACATTTACGTCGTCGTGCTGGCTTACTGTGCTTACGCTTCTGATGTATCAGTCTGTATAACCAGGTGCTTCACTAACTGGGCACAGGTCAGACTGCCGAGATACAGGCTAGCTAACTTGAAAGCGTACCCGCGACTTAACCCAGCTCCTAGCTTTTCCATTATGGACATGGAGGCAAAGTTTAGTACTTCATACAGATACATCGACCTCAACACTACCGCACACGTCCTCCCGTCTGTACAGACAGCAACTTATTTTTCGCGCGTGGTGCGACTCAATACTGTAGTTTCAATTCTGAGCGCGCATAAGTGTAATATAGTCTGTGAGCGTTAGTGGTACATATAGCATGATTTAGCTTATGGCCAAATGAGTGAGTGTACTTGCCGTCTACGGTGACGCGTATGCAGATAGGAACGGCCAGCTTGTAGAGGTACACAGTACATACCTCGTGCTAGTTATTATATGAAACGTGCTACGCTCTATAGGTGCGTCAACACGCTTGGTAGCGCCACAGTCAGCTTACGGTATGTGCGACCCTAAGCCTCGCACCGTCAGCCAGTATTCAACATTATGCGGGGTAAGGGGATATAAGGATGTATATCCAAATCACCTGCTCTTCTGCTGCTTCTTTTGCTCAATGTACCTGACGTTTCGGGCGGTCAGCTTGCGAGGGCGGCTGTGTCTATTTTTCTTCTTGAGGTACCAGTCAGGGCCCATCACCTTCTCGACGTTTGGCAGGCTTTCCTGGTGGCGCACTTCGGCCGAATTAGGTGGTGGAGGCTTTTCCTCCCAGAACTTAACCGCTTTTGGGCCGTTCTTGCAGGCAATACAGTGCCGCACGCTGCCCCGTCCGCTGATTGTACGGAACGCGTAACCGTACTACAGCTTCCTGCAGCCGACGCAGCGCGCCCGGGAATCCGTCGTAGACCACTGCGGGTTCAGCAGAAGTGGGTCAATCTTCGCCTCGCATTGCTTGCACGTAGGGCCCACAACTGTGAGTAAGTTAGCAAATTATATTGTTTTAACCAATTACTTGCGTCCAAATATTAGCCAATAGCACGGTACTGTAAGGCTGGTATTTATTATTAAGCAACATATTAAAATGTTTTATACTATTACTATTTTGCTTTTAATAATATTATTATCAGATGTACAAACAAATACATACTTTACATAGGGGGCTTGTTAGCCACCGACGATGTTAACTGTAGATCTGGTCTGATTCCTCTAATTATTTATATTTTTATCGAATCAGCGGATCTACATGAACAAGAGTGGATCTGAGTCTTCACCCGCAACCTTCGTGGGACATTCGTCTGTCTTATTGGTTGGCTCAAAAACGTTTGTTGGTCTGTGTAAAAAAAACGAAGTATCGAGGCCATTCGTAAATCTCTCCAGTCCTTTCGAAGCTAACTCCACCACACTAGCAAGTACGTCCCAGCGTCCATGACCACCACCACCACCGTCAGAGAAGCCGCGCGACAGCCCTCCTTTTTGACGTTAAGGCGAGCTGTCGCGCGACTTTTGGAGGCCCCGCTTTGCCTGCATCGGTTGTCGTCTGGTAACTTCGTCGCTCGCCCCGAAGGGTTCGAAGTGTGGAGACTTGCTGGAGCGACTTGCAGGCAGCGGTAGGCCTTGGCTCTTAGCAGTAGGCATTAACGAAATGTTGTGTGTCGTTTTGTCTCCTCCTCAGCCATGGTTCGTATGAGCGTGCTAGCCGACTGTCTCAAGACGATGTACAACGCTGAGAAGCGCGGAAAACGCCAGGTTCTCATCCGCCCGAGCTCAAAGGTGATCGTTAAGTTCCTGCAGGTGATGCAGAAGAACGGCTACATTGGCGAGTTCGAGATCGTGGACGACCACCGTGCCGGAAAAATCGTCGTGGAGCTCAAGGGCCGCATCAACAAGTGCGGCGTCATCTCGCCTCGCTTCGACGTCAAGCTTGCTGACTACGAGAAGTGGATCAACAACCTCCTGCCGTCGCGTCAGTTCGGCCATATTGTGGTCAGCACCACGTACGGCATCATGGACCACCACGAGGCCCGCCGCAAACACACGGGTGGCAAGATCATTGGATTCTTCTACTAACTCTTTAGTGAGACCAGACCATGACTCTAGCCAACTAGTGCGACCTTGAAGTCGTGTCCGGAGAAAGGAGAGGATTTGAGTGGATTAAACAACGTAGAGACTCGGCTAATACAAAGTAGCTTCTTTGCGTTACGCTCCGGTATTTTGCGAGTATGTTATATCATGATCGCTTGTTGTGCTGGTTGCTGTTGCAGTTGTTGACTGAGTACGCGAGCAGTTTATTTACCAGTTTTTTGCATGCTTCACTCGAAACTGACTGCCACTTTCACTTCCCTATTAATACGCGCCTGCAGCGGATAGAGCTCGCCATTACTCTGAAGTGGCGAGACACGGAGCTAGAAACAACTTCAAGACGCAGGGGTTCCTGCCCGCTGGCTGCTCCGTAGCTCGCAATCACCTCCAGCCGAGCGCAAGTGAATGCCCTGCGCGTCTGGCCATCGAATTTTACGTCGCCGATCTCCGGTGCCTTAGTGAGTTATTTGTGGCGACTCCAGCAACCATGCCGAGTAGGAATGAAATCGTGCCGCTGGACGCTTCCATTTCAGCTGCCGAGTGCTCAGAACCAAATCCACGCCCCGGTCCGGGAGTAGTGACAGTACCAGTGCTACCGAAACTTAAAGTGAAAACCTTCGGCAGCAAGGCAAAAGCTACCACGGCAGAAATGGCGTCAGTACAGGAACGACGAATGCTACTCGTACAAGCACAACGACGATACACAGCCTTTCAAGTCTTCTACGGCTTTTCCGGTCTGGCACTTATGATGATGCAGATGGAGTATGTGTGGCTCGCCAATACTAGGACTTTGCCCGAATCGTGTCCTGTGGAATCGACGACACAATGCCCTCTCTGTTTCCAAGCCTTAGACACGAACGTACCAGTGAGCGAAGGGCGAATGGTTTTATTGGCTCTGCGCGTGCTTATGTCATTCTCCACAACACTTATGCTGTACTATATCTATCTCTACTACGCAGCGGAATGCGAAGTCATGAAACTCAAAAATATTATGCCACCGACAGCGACGTTGCTGAGCTCTTCGTTGCGACACACATTGCTTATTGAAATGGCGGTATTAGCTGTACATCCATTCCCCGGAATTGAGGACGTGGATCCGAAATGGCCACAGCTTACGGTTGCTGCCAGTCTTTTAATGTTCACGCGGGTAATCTTCATAATTCGAGTGGTGCAATTCCGCAACTCGTTCAATTCGAGCAATGGATGGTTTATTGGAGCTCTTACTAATGTCGATTTTAATGCTACGTTCTTCATGAAATCGACACTGAAAAATCACCCCACCAGTTGTCTGATGGCGAGCTTCGCTGTGCTTGGGTTTGCTGCTGGGTATTCATTGTATGTGGCGGAGCGCTTCTTATGTGCTTTTAAAGCGGATTCCTGCTGTCAGCCCATGCTACTAGGCGACGCAATCTGGATGCTGGTCATAACAATTCTCACCATCGGATACGGTGACGTCGTACCGCGGACAACTTTAGGTCGTGCCATCGCAGTAACTGCCGGAGTCTTCGGTACGCTTTCCACCGCAGTGACAATTGCAGTCATGAGCAACTACTTAGTACTCACACGTTCCGAGCACAAGGTCAATGCGTTCCTCAAGAAAGACGAACATCGGCGGCTTTTAAATGACCATGCAGCTCGAGCACTCCAGGCATTTGCACAGCTCCGTGCAGCTCAACGTCGGCATAACCGAGCTGCTTCATTGGAAGTAGGGGAAAGTAGTCACGTTAACGTATCAACGACGGAGGCCCCTGAAGGCAAAGCGACAGGAACGACGAGTACGAAACGAGCACTGCGTCGTGCAGAGCTCAAACTGTTCACGGTTCTGTCAAAGTATCGACAAGTGAAGCGACGAGTGCATTCCCATGACGTTAGCGATCCCATCGATTCACAGATGACCATGCTGGAAATGATGGAGGTTAACGTCGAGTACATTCGCACGAAGATTGAGGAATTATCCGAGCTGTTCTTGGCCCAAAATGGAGTTCGATCACATAGTAAGCGTAATCTAAGCAACATAATTGCTGCCGCTACCATCCCAGAATCAGTCACGGACACTACAACCTACTCGTCGATACAAAGTGGAGGAGGATGCTCAGTATCGTTACCACCCACCCGTAGTTCTATTACTCTTTTACAGCAGCTTCAGCAGCAACCAAGCCAACTGCAGTGGTCACTTCGGCAACCTCAACAGCAGCAACCAAATCAGCCCAAACAGCAGACGCCAACCTCGCAGTCGATACTTAGCAGTTCTATAGCCTACGAGGCAACTAGTGTTGGCGCTGATACCCAAGCCGCCACATCATCATCAGACAATGTCCCTCGTTGGGCTATAATGATGGAGTTGACACTTCAGAGTCTCCTGGAGCAAGTATCTCGAGTATCGGGCGAAGTGGAAGCCCTGAAATCTCGCATACATGCACAGTCTGAAACCCTCGAAAGTCGATTAATGAACCTCGAGAAGCGTCTAGTAGTATCCGATGCATTGAACGAAATGTCGAGGACTCGGGGCTCCACACGAAACCTCTTTCTTCGTGCATTAAAGTCCACTGAAGAGTCACCAGCTTTTGAAACTTCACCGAGGCAACGACGTGTCAGCGCCACTGCCACACATCGGCCATCCATACACAACTTTGTTACAGCATCAGAGTTGCTCGAGTTCCAAACACCAAACGAAGAGCAGGGCAAAGGATGACAGACAGTTCCGGAACGCAGCGAATGTAAAAATTCGTCCATCGATACCGCAACTTAGTCACTCATCAACGTGGCAATGGCACCGCAGCTCGCGTTTAAAATCGACTAGGTCACCTGTTATGATCACTAGGGTCTTATCAGGAGGAACGAGCTGCTCGAGTGGCTTTAACGGACTGCCTTGGCCCACAACATGCACTCGAAGTTTCCGAGCTCCACGACTTTTGCTGGGTTCATAGTGGTCTTTACGATGATATTGAGTGCAAGTGGTGCAGCAGCTAGTGCTTCCCTGTACCCAGCATCGGTACCTTTCCAGCAGACCTTGACGCGTACAGTTTCTAAGAGCAGCTGTTACACGCGCATCCAAGTCAAACTCCAGACGTCCACTAACGATCTCTTCCCAATACCTTTCACCTTCCTCTGTTAGCGTTAAGTCAGGACGAGCATACGCTCGCTGCAAAGTTTGTACGTGGGCTGCAAAACGTTTGGGCGAAATACACTTATCTAAGAGCAGAAATTCGTGCGGAAATTCTTCATGTAAGAAGAGATCGAGTTTCTTCGCCACGGCACCGGCAGCATGGGAGGCTGATTGCACGGCCACACTCAGACCGAGTACGTCGTGGGTGTCTCGAATACTGCACGTCACTGTATAGCCTAGTTGCTGCTTAGTTCGCAATTCATGAAAGAGTGGTTGAGCCAGTAGAGCACGCAACAAGACGGCATACGCTCGATCTGTCGGCCCTACTTTGCCGATCTGGAAATACACTTCCACCACGGAATTCCGCTCTCCAGCACGTTCACTTTTACGCCGTACGAGAAGTCCATTAGTTGTCGGTGGTAGCGCGATTGTGTGACATCTTGGGGCTAATATAGGAGGCTCCGGTTCAAGTTCTGGCTCTGGCTCGTAAGTAGATTCGCCTACTTTGACCGCTTCGACGTCTCGCGCAAGAGAAATAGAAGCTTCTCGACTCAAATTCCCGATCACCAGGCACCGCAGCATCGGTGTGTCGGTGCATCCCAGGGCGGTGGTCGTAAAGTCTGCGAGATCGTCTGCGAGTTCGTTCTCACGCCTGTATCTGCTTTGAAGTGCCTCCAACTTGTCGTCTGTGGTGACGGCGCTGCTTTCAAGCATCTGCAGTCGTAACTCGTAGGCTTTTGCTCTTGGAGACAGAGTAGAATTGCGGTACTCACGTTCGAGTTCGTCTCGCGCTAATGTTAATTCCGATGCAATTTCAAGTGTCGTTGACGGACACAAAATCTCCCGCATGATAACAAGAATGAGCTCTGGTAACGTATCGCTGAACCCGGAGATCACAACCTCAATAGCTTGGTCTCGGACACCCAATTCGGTGGTGAAATTCGCAGTTTCTGCGTGCTCTAATGTGTGCTGCAAACGACGACGCACCAGTTCAACATGCAATTCTGCGAGCATATGAGTTACTGCTGTTGGCTCTGGCAGCGTCATGAGGAAGCTGACGCTCGCTTTGGGCACCAAAAAGGTGCGGTCACGCTTGTACCATAGCTGTATTGTCGAAGTTGTAAGGATGAGGTCTGGAGGAGCTCCACTATCAGCTTGAACGAGCGGTTCCCAAGGTAAAAGTGAGATATCCCGGGGCATGAAAGGATTTGGCGTTGGTAGTGGTGATAGCTCTATCGATTCTTCCGAGAGCCGGGACCACGCTGTAATTACTGTGTCAGGAATTGGATCTACAGTGTATTTGGTGCCAAACCACCGTTCAGTCCGAAGTTTCTCAAACTTGATAGTATCGGTAAATGAAGACGCCATCAAGACGATGCGAACATTGTCAGCGGAAAGACTAGAGAGCAAAGCGCATACAGATGAGGCATCGAATATACCCTGGATGAGATCATAACGTAGTAAATCTCCCTTGCAATTCCGTTGAATAGTGTGGCGAGGTAGCATTCTCTCGCTCAGTTCGCGACATAGATCCACGGGCGCGTTATCTTCTTCTTGGAAACGAAAATCCATCTCGCTAGATGAGCGAAGTTCATCAAACACCCATGCAGGTAAATCGCCGGTTGTTGCCATGACTGAGAAGATACGAAGAGCATCGAAAATGACTTGAGCAACCTGTTGCCAACTAGCCAGACCCCGCTCAGTGAGAGACACTCGGACCTCAAAAACCGAGCCAAAGGATCCAAACTCGTAGCCGTCTCGATCAGAAGTACCAGCGATGACATCAGTAGCCCATTGCCTTCGCTTGAGAATGGATGCTGTAGATTCTGGACCTTCGTGGCCTAACAAGCGACCCACGTATAGCCAAGGCTTTTGCCGGTAGTTCTTCATCATTGGTGGAAGCATCCAATACAGTCGCAGAGAGAGTTTCTCACCTACAGGAATGACTCGTAAGACCGTGGGCTTCTGGCCTGCTCCACCTCCATAAGGTACCATGAGCGTCTCAGGCCTTGGTACATCGTAATTGCTTCGATAGAGAGGGATACCGTTGAAACTCTGAGTCACGTACTGCTCCAGTACATCTAGTGATTCACATCCATAGACACATAATTTCATAGCTGGCCCCACGTAGAACTTCTTAAAAAACTGCAACATTTGCTCACGAACAGCAATTCCATCACGCTCTGGGTGGCGTTTCAAGCTTTCCTCATTGCCCCACGTGAAGCAACGCGAATATGGGTGCTTTGCTATGCTTGTTTCGCACATAACTTGCTGTAGACGGACAGGATTGTTGTTGCGCACTCGCTGAAACTCGGACTCGACCGCTTTCAGCTCGCGTTCCATCGCTTCACATCGCAATAACGGGGCCACAAACAGACTCCCAAACATATCAAGTGCAGGTGCCAAGTATGCGGCATCCACATCGAACACAAACCTCGTAGACTCGCATTCTGTAGCTCCGTTGCTAGATCCTCCGTGTGCACTTAGGAAGCTTTCAAATGCGTCCTCATCGGGGTAATTCTCACTGCCCATGAACATCATATGCTCCAAATAGTGCGCCAGACCTGGTAATTTTTCCGGATCGGCCAGACTACCTACACCCACAGTCAAACACGCCGCTGCCATTGGTTGAACACGGTCGTTGGTCTCGTCTTCATTTACCTCTGTACTGTCAAAATCTGGGTAATCTGTCGAGCCGAGGCTGTCTAACTCATTGCCAACGTCATTGCAATTGGCAGTTCCTTGAAAGTCTGGCCTAGCGTCGCTCCGGATGAGCAGAACCTCCATTCCATTGGACGTAGTGACGAGGCGGTAGCTCTTTTTGTCTGCAGGCGACCGGAAGCTGTCCAGACTCATGCGGAACGGCAGTAACGACGACATCTCCACTACCCTGTAAAATTGTGAAGTGAACTAGCCGAAGCTTACAGCTCTTCTCGAATGCATCCATCATTATCCCACAACCTTGTCAACGTCCTCAAGTCTGAGATGGCTACATATGTTTCAATATCCACCAATCGTTTTGCAATTACATGTAGTTCATTTTACTTGCGAGGTACGGGAATGTTTAGTGGCAAATGGGTTACATACCCTAGTTACACCTGCTCCCTTACTTCTTGTCGCTGCCGAAGCATCATTGTGACCGAGTGACTTTTTCGAAGTGCTCGACCCTCGGGTCGGCGCCTTCGTGTGCAGCGCAGTCGCGGATTCCAACGCAAAAGGGAGAGTGAGATTCGGTCTTACTCTTCCTACTCATCCTATCCTTACTGTCTTCCACGTGGAGGTCTCACAGCCTCACGTTCCCCGCTCTATACGTACCACGATCCAGCCACAAACCTCCGGCAGTAGCAGCTGCTCGTCGTTCCCTCGTCCAGAGTGATCCCGCGCATGCGCATCATCTTCCAACACTCCTCCTCGCCGACACTGCGTCCTGGCGGTGTGTTCCCAGTTCTTAATGCAATCCCACCTGAGCTCGCAGCTCATCAAGTCTCGGGGCCGGCAACGCCTTCGTTAGGATGTCCGCAGGCATCCTCTTGCTCTCTCGATACTCCGGTCCCAGTACGCCTTCCTTGGTGAAAAGTCCAACGAACTTGATCCGTACGTCCACATGTTTCGCTTTCGATGAAGCACCCTCACCTTCGAGTTGCTTCAGTGCAGCCTGGTTATCTACTCGTAGCGGCATCGGTTCTACGAACGCGATCTCCAGCTCCTTAAGCAATTCTCTTACGCCTAGTAGCTCTTGCGCCATGACCAACGCTGCGGTGTATTCTGCTTCTATCGTAGACAAGGACACACCCGTCTGCTTCTTGCAGACCCAACTTATGGGCATCCCGTCTACTGTGACGAGCCCACCAGTGACCGACTTCCTGTCGCCCTTATCAGCCGCAAAGTCCGCGTCACTATAGCCCACAACTTCCAGTGGCTCCATCCGCCCTCTGTCTCCTTTCATACACAGCCTCAGCTGCTTCGTCCCAGCGAGATACCGCAGTACTCGCTTCTGTGGTGTAGTGATTTCTCCGTAGTTGCGGATTATCACCCGTCGACAAAGACGTGACACCGCCCAAGTTGTTCAAGCGACGAACCCTCGGTCAGGTGATGTACGGAGACGCCAAGGTGCAAGGGACTCGACGGCGTCACCTCCGAGTTTTCAACAAGTATCGGATACGGCCCTATGTCACTGAATCCAGGCTGTCCTTATTATTAATAATGGACTGGCCGGATTCGCATTCAGCGGACCATCTACGGTACGAACCCTCAGTGGCGGTTGGGATGAGTTCGCGGAATACTCAGCGACCTTTGGAAGACACGTTCACCGTCTGGGACAGGGCGCGGACCGTTAAAGATGCTCATGCGACAGTGCAGACGACGCTTGGCATGCAAGAAGATCCATAACGGATCATTGTTCACTTGATATTTGTATACTTGATTAGGACTTCTTATTAGGAATAGACCCGAAAGGGTAAGCTTAAATACAGAACAGAATTTCCACTCAAGCACACAGAGCGACGTCCGGCTTCAAGGTAAGCGTCAGGTCAAGCTTGTTTGAGTGTGTTATGCCTGTCGGTGAACTCGAAGCTCTGTAGCGAGGGTTCATCCAGCAAGGCCAAGAGACTTTGTGTATTGGCCGATTACTATCGGGAGGTTTTACGTGACGGCTTATTGTTGCCTATTTGCACGACTGGGAGTGCTTGAATTGCCTCCCTTTTATTTCTTCCAGCCGAGTGTCGAACACTCGGTGATCTCGTAAAAGGCTTACCCGTGCCTGGTACCCTTCCGCTGTTGGGACCACGAGGATTCAAAACACCTGCTAGCTTTGCTCGTGCTAGTAGCGTGTTCTTATTTTACTGGTTAACCTATATAAGTAGTTTACAAGGTCCAGTTTGTCCAGGTGCAAGGGCAGAACTGGGGTCTTCAGGTCCGCCCGAACGATCGTTTACTATCCTAGTAGACGTATTGTTGTGGGAACATCCTAACTACATCTGTAGCTAGAGTTCACGTGGGATTTCCAACACCACAACTGGTGCCGCGACCCGGGAACAGATTGTGACCATTGTGAACTGTTTGTATGGCCTTCCAGTTTACGAGCTACCAAGAGAAGAAGAACAAGAAAAAGACAAGAAACATGGCGAAAGGACAACCGACGGTACCAGTTACGCCTGCCAAGTCTGGCGGGGCTCGCAACGAGAGTTCAAGCCCGGCTGCGCGCTTTGCAGCCGGCACCGAGCTTTCAGTGAGCTTTGACGCATCGGTCCTGACGCCCACGATTATGAAGATTACGAAGATAAAACGCCGGCTCCAGAGCCAGGCGCAGCGACGCCGGAGACGGCCACGCTATCATCGGGGCTGAGCGGGGCGACCAAGTCCCTTTCGAGGAACCTCGCCGACGAGCTCGATGATGTTGCGGGACCGGAACCGGCCTATGATGATTATGACGATGGGACCGAGGGTTTTAAACCTTCGGTGGCGAGTGCAAAGCATTCAGCACTGCTGAAGGCACCTCGCCCACCTATCAACGGTGATACACCAGCCGCCAAGCGCGTTTTCGACCGCGTACAAGCGCTGATGCAGAATGATGAGTGGATGCAGCTGTTCAAGCCCATCCCCAAGAAAAAGGCCGACTGGCCTGCGCTTGCGCAGGAACTTCAATACCCAGTCAACTCGGTTTCGACTAGTCAAGTTGCCGAGGATTCAGTTTCGCTACTGTTGTCGCTGGGGTTCGAGAACGAGACGTACCCATTAACGATGTCGCTCCAGGATTGGAGTCCACATGAAACTGGAGCTGCTCTCCAGAAATGGAAGAAGAAGCTTCGGAAGGCGTTTGGCGCCGTTGGCATCAATGCCGGAAAGCAGCCTGTGAGTCGACCGATGATTCAAGATGAAGATCCGTCTAAGATTCCACTGCCGCCGACGCCCCAACGACTCGTTCGTACTCCTCCGACCAAGCGTGGAGCTGAGCGTGGTGCCTTTGGCACTACCGAAGCTTCACCGTACTTTCAAGACTCGCACATGGTTACGCCACGTTCGGAGAGCCGTATGCAGCGTGTTTACGCTGGCAACGAGGGTTCGTTCGGTCGCCGAGGCGGCGCGCGAGCTCCTAAGGGTGGTGCCGGACGTCGTCAAGTCGACAGCGATGGTTCGTCCAGTGACGATGACATTTTGGTGCGTACATTCGACGAGGAAGATCCTCAACTCGAGTTGATGCGTCAGATGAATGAGCTAGCGACGCTGAACGACGTGGACCCAACACCGAGGATTGAAATGGCTTCGCACCGACCGCTGGATCGCATCACGCCGTTCTCAGGCTCTCGCAACAAGAGCGAGAACTGTATGCAGTGGCTCCGTGGGTTCGTCTATGAAATGACTGGAACCCACACAGATGCCGACAAATGGTGCATTCCATTTGAGCTTAGTCTCCGGGACGGAGCTATTCATTGGTTCCGTCAACTTCCGAAGAAGACGAAGCGCAAATGGAAGCTGTTGAGCGACGCGTTCATCCGCTACTACTGCTCGCAGTTCACGCAGACGGCACTGTCGCTTTACTACTCCGCCAAGCGGGAACGAAATGAACATCTGTGCGACTACATAAACAGGCTGAACGGCTACGCTCGGACCGCCCGTCTACACTTTGAGAAGAGTGGTCGCGACGCGAAAGAACACGTACAGCAGTTCCTGGCAACATGCGACGATGACAAACTAGCGGAGAGTCTCTACCACGCTCGACTCGCCGACATTCACAAGCTTGAAGAGATCGTCGAAGATGTTCTCAAGGGCAAGGAGAGAATGGCCAAGCGTGACAGTGAGTACCGATACTCTAAGCGTCGTGATACGCGACGCGACGATGGGTACGCCCGCAACAACCGGCGTGATGACCGTCGCCGCGATGACAACCGCAACAAACCAAGAGTGACACTCATTGAAGCTACGGTGGACGACCTACTAGCTGAATTAGAAGGTCGTGAAGCTGCTCAGGGAGGCACCGAGTATTCAAACGAAGATCCGAACGCTTACGACGATGTCCAAGATGAGTACAACGACTTTCATCCCGATAATACGGATGGCGATTTCTCATTGGATGAAAACGACCGATACCTCGCTGCTGCAAACGAAAACGAGCGCCGTGCAGCTGCTGAAGGCACCTACGCACGTTCGGACAACCGCCAACCGCGTGGAAACACGCCTGATCGCGATAATGGCTTCAATCAAGATCGCCGAGGTGGTGACCGTGGGTTCAATCAGGACCAACGCGGTCGACGTGACTTCAACCGCGACAACCGACGCCCACAGTACGGACCATGCGCGGTGTGCGGTGGCATGAGTCACTCCGCCCACTACTGTAACAAGCGATGCAAGTTCTACAAACAACTCCACGATGCTGGACAATGCGAACTTTTCCGCAACTTCCAAGACCTTGCCAAATTTGTGCACACCAAAGGCACGAAGGAGGAACTCCCGCCAGAGCTCAAGGCCGTCGTTCAAGAACGTCATTTAAACTAGGCAGCCCGCCAACTACAACTGGGTTGGTCCCTATCGGGCTGCCACAGTTAACTGAGCCTTCAATGGAAGCAGAGTGTATCTTTGCTTTCATGGGGCAGAGTGAATGGCCTGATAAATACGTAACAAGTGTGAACGCGACGGAAAATGAAAAAGAGAGGAGTAGAATCCTCGGTGGAGGTGTTGGAGAAATAGTGGAGTGTGCTGATGCTGATGAGGGAACCAGCGAGGGTTCGCTCGGCTTGGTTTCGAGTGCAGCGCGAGACGAGCCCAAGGGTCACTCCAAGATGATGAAGTTGAACCCTGGCGAGAGACAGGGGTGGTGGTCGGCCAAGAAATTCGACCGACGGATCAGAATGAGAGCTCTGGTGCAAGGCGCTGTGAACGACCAG